AAAAAAAAACGCTACTCCTATAAGCGTTTTGAGAGGAAAAAACTGCCTAAATTAGTAGGCTGTACGTTTCATTTTATTATTACATTCATAAAAAATGTAGGCTAAAATAATGGTAAATAAACGCAAAATTACAAACACAATTAGGCTATTTTAGTTCCCTTCTCTCCACAACAGTTGTATTTAGGCTAAATATAAGCATCAAGGCAAAACGAATTAATTTAAAGATGAAACACCTCACTCCCTCACTCATTCTGCACAAATCCAAATGTTTCCATATTCGCAAAGTATCTGGATGCTAACCTATTATTTAATAGGCTTTGACCTGGACAATTTTCAATCTGGTTTTCGACCGCATCACAGCACAGAGACAGCACTCATTAATATAATAAATGATATTCGCTTAAATTCTGAATCTGGCAAAATATCAGTGCTGGTACTACTAGATCTCAGTGCTGCGTTTGATACTGTCGATCATAACATACTACTAGAGAGACTGGAAAACTTGGTTGGGCTTTCTGGCATGGTAATTAAATGGTTCAGGTCATACTTAGAAGGGAGAGGTTATTATGTGAGTATAGGAGAGCATAAGTCTAAGTGGACGTCCATGACATGCAGAGTCCCACAAGGCTCAATTCTTGCACCGCTCTTGTTTAGCCTGTATATGCTCCCACTAAGTCAAATAATGAGAAAGAACCAAATCGCCTATCACAGCTATGCAGATGATACCCAGATTTACTTAGCCTTATCTCCAAATGACTACAGCCCCATTGACTCCCTCTGCCAATGCATTGATGAAATTAACAGTTGGATTTGCGAGAACTTTCTTCAGTTAAACAAAGAAAAAACCGAAGTCATTGCATTTGGAAACAAAGATGAAGTTCTCAAGGTGAACGCATACCTTGACTCTAGGGGTCAAACAACTAAAAATCAAGTCAGGAATCTTGGTATGATTCTGAAGACAGACCTTAGTTTCAGTAGTCATGTAAAAGCTGTAACTAAATCAGCATACTACCATCTCAAAAACATTGCAAGAATTAGATGTTTTGTTTCCAGTCAAGACTTGGAGAAACTTGTTCATGTCTTTATCACCAGCAGGGTGGACTATTGTAATGGTCTCCTCACCGGCCTTCCCAAGAAGACCATTAGACAGCTGCAGCTCATCCAGAACGCTGCTGCCAGAATTCTGACTAGAACCAGAAAATCTGAACATATCACACCAGTCCTCAGGTCTTTACACTGGCTTCCAGTTATATTTAGGATTGATTTTAAAGTACTTTTACTCGTTTATAAATCACTCAATGGCCTAGGACCTAAATACATTGCAGCTATGCTCACTGAATATAAACCTAACAGACCACTGAGATCATTAGGATCGAGTCAGTTATAAATACCAAGGGTTCACACAAAACAAGGGGAGTCCACTTTTAGCTATTATGCAGCCTGCAGCTGGAACCAGCTTCCAGAAGAGATCAGATGTGCTAAAACATTAGCCACATTTAAATCCAGACTCAAAACTCATATGTTTAGCTGTGCGTTTATTGAAAGAGCACTGTGCTATGTCCGAACTGATTGCACTGTATTTTATATATAATCATTTTCTATCTTTAACTGTTTTAAATTCATTTTAAATACATTTTTAAATCATTTTAAAAGTTTTTAAATTCCTTGTTTTATTGTTGTGATTATTTTTATGATTATTTTACTTCCTTTTATGTAAAGCACTTTGAATTACCATTGTGTATGAAATGTGCTATATAAATAAACTTGCCTTGCCTTTTTCTCAGATTTAATTAAAAAAAATTGTGATAAGGGCATTTACTGTAAGTAAATAATATATTATTTTGAAAAGTTATTCTTAATATTAGTTGCAAATACTATTATTTATTACCATAAAAATGAAATTTAATTATATTTAATATTAATTTATGTTATTGTACATACATTTGCACAGGGACTCAAATCTGTGAATAACTTTTCACATTGGTTCTTTTAAATGAACTGTCTAGATGAACATTAGTTTGTTAGTGGAAAAATTACCGTTTTTAAAACAGCTGAGCAAATGTCACGCTACTGAAGAACATTAAGTTAGCAGCTATCGCTAATTCTTTAGTTAGTCACTCCCCAACACTGCTTTCCACTCATCCATTCCCTCCTGCCAAACTCTAGTAACGTCTGTTTCTCACACCTCGTTTATTTGCTCACGCGAGAGCCCAATCTCATTTGTCTCGCTTATCATGTCTGGTCTTGTCTGACTGTGCCCATTTCTCTCCACACTGTCATTGACTTTTCCTCTCAACATCTCACTTCAGTGGAACGGGATCATTACATTTTAGCACCACTTAAGGTTTATCATGCTATATTTAATAGAGTGTGTATGTGTGCACATTTTCTCCATTGTTCAGATCTGAATAAACACAAGCGCTATGAGATCCGACTGAGCGTGTATAACGCAGTAGGGGAAGGGCCCACCAGCTCGCCACAGGAAGTGTTCGTGGGAGAGGCGGGTAAGGGTACAAATACATTTACACATTTTACATTTAGTCATTTAGCAGACGCTTTTATCCAAAGCGACTTACAATTGGGGGATACATAAAGCGATTCTTCTTAAAGAGGCAAACAGACACAAGAAGTGGTTGTAATACCAAGTTCTTAGACATTGTTCAAATAAGTACAAGCTAGAAAGAGAAGGAATAAATAAAGAGAGAGATACTTTTTTATTTATTTATTTATTTATTTTTTATGATGAAGTCAAGTAGCTTCGAAAGAGATGAGTTTTCAGCTGTCACTTGAAAATTGTCAGGGATTCAGCATTCCGGATAGGGGTGGGAAGATCGTTCCACCAGCCAGGCCGGGAATGAGGACAGCAGCCCATCCAGCTCTTCTAGGAAGGTGGATAGAATTTGCCCAGGAGGGCGGTAAATTACCACAACCTGGAGTTTTACGGGAGCTGTTATAGTGATCACATGAGATTCAAATGAGTTGTAATTGCATAGGGGAGAGTGGGTTGAGTATTTCCAATTGTTAGAAATGAGCAGACCAGTGCCCCCACCCCGGCCAACCTGACGGGGGGTATGAGAGAAAGAGAAATTGTTAGAGAGAGCAGCTGGGGTTGCTGAGTCTTCTGGACGAATCCAGGTCTCAGTCAAGCCCAATATGCTAAGTGTGGAGTTTAAAGAAAAAGACGAAATTAAGTCTGCTTTGTTGACAGCTGACTGACATTTCCAGAGACCCATAGAGAAAGAAAGAGGTGCAGTAGAGGATGTAGAGATAGGATGCAGGTTAGCAACATTGCGTTGCCGTCTGCGTGTGACCGTAGAGCGTTGTCGAGAGACAACCGGAATGGTTTGGAAGCACATGATAGAGGTGGGAAAGAGAGGACAGAAAAGGAGAGTGTGTACAGGGAAGAGCAAAAATATACTTAAGTGCCTGGGCGATTTCGTTGCTCGGTGAAGTCATGCAGGTAAAGTCGCAGGTCTTTACATTCGTTGGTCTTCCCACGAGGAGGCCTGAACGCGTCCGCTGATGCTTCCGCATCAGCGCACAGACATCAGATAAATACACAGTCTAAGACACTAAAGTGAAAACAGCTGTGGCCGCCTTCTAATTAGCACAGCCAATAGTCTATAGCAGGGCAATTCCTCCAATCGAAACTACAGTTCGCACTTAAACGCAGGAAGGGAGCAATTAAATGACACGCGCTCCTTCTTAGCCGAGGGCAGTTATTATAATTACCAGAAAGTGCAATCAAAAATACAAACGCAAACAAAAATATAACGTAGAAATAGGCAGAAAACGAAATATTCCTTCTTATATTCCTCCTTGATGCTCTAAGTCAATATTGTTGATTTCACAGTCTAATAAAAACGTGCAGTAGTGCTGTCAGTCAGTATAAAGTCTAATAAATCAGTTCAAACGGTCTAGGATTCATCATCTCTCTCTCTGTTCTCATCAGTGCCCACTGCTCCACCTCAAAATGCCGCTATCCAGTCCTCAACAGCTACTCAGCTTGATGTCACATGGGACCCGCCTCCAGTGGAGGCCCAGAATGGGGATATTCAAGGCTATAAGGTACAATATTTTGATGTGCTTCAGCTAGACCCTAAAATATTGCTGTCCCCCAGAGAAACATAATAAATCCTTGTCTGCCAATATGCCATCCTGAGAATATTTTTTTTCTGATAATATTTCAGCAATCAAGTCTTGTGTGTTTCTGTAGAATCAGAACTAGCAATGCTAGATTCACGAATGAATCATGAAAGTGCTCACATGAGTTTGTAAAAATGTCTGAAATTGTTCACAATTAAAGGTACGTTTCAAAAAAGCTTTTCCTTTCCTTTTTGAAAAGTCTCACGTATGGATGACAACATTGTCCAAACAATCCCTGTTTACCCAGATTTGCAAAAATGACTAAAAGTGCTATATTATGCATGTCAGGCCAGTAGATGGCGATGTCACTTTGTAAAGAAACAATACACAACTGCGCATATACCTATAGACTGATAATGTAATATACATGCAAATTACATCACTGTTTTCGCAAATTCACATTTTTGTAGTTTACGAAGAGATGGTATAGTTTTCAAAAACTTGCACTTTTTGCAAGTTGTCATGTAAATGAATGACCTTTCCTTTGTTGTGTAAATTAATGGCCAAAACATGTAACATGTTTTTTTTTTGTTGAAAACGATCCCTCAGTTTGATTTATTAGAACAGTTCACTCACTCATTGAATCGTTTGCAGCAGTTTTTCACATCCGAAATAGCAATGGGATATTTTATGAGACAGAAAACAAGAAGAGGTGAAGTTAATATTTACTTATAATCTATTGTAGGAGTGACTCTGTATAGCAGGTGAAGATGAAAAAAAAAAACATTATAAAAAACAGGCACTTTTTTTTTTTTGATGAAAGTCTAAAAACAGCCCTGCTGTGAATGCCCCCTGATGGTGGAACAACTCTGGAGACGCTGTCAGTTACCTCAAAAAATACTTCTAAATCATCCGTCACTTTGAATAAACGAACAAATACCATAACAACTATTGTTTATAATGTAATGGTTGTTGTTTATTTGAGCTGGTCAACATCGCACTATTGACTAAACCAATTAAGTGAGTTTGTGATAGCCTGACGAAGCCAATATACTGTTGTTGTGTAATCTTAGGGATAGTGGGGTTTCTTTCAAAATAACTGACCTAGCCAGCACACCCTAGTAACCACCATTCAAATGTCTCTTCAGGCTGCAAAAAGCTAAAGTCCTATGTAACCTTCAAGCTTTAAACCTTTCTTTGGGCTGCCCAAGTATTCACTACAAAAGGCTTAAATAACGTTTCAAACATCAAACCAATCTTCAAACAGTTTTAAACTTTCAGACGAAGCTTTGTCAAACCAATATTCAAAGTATGTCTTGACAAACTTTACCTTTTAAATTATTTTGGCAGTTCAGTTTAAAACCACTAGTGGTGCATAGATTTTCAACTGATAGATAGATAGATAGATAGAACTTCAAACTGGTTGATACCAGTAGTGTGACTACTATAATATCCAACTCCTGACATGAGTTTTATGTAAAGCCAGTAAACCCTTTAACATTCACATGTTACATGGAAGGACTGTTTACCTCACGTATGGATGACAACATTGTCCAAACAATCCCTGTTTACCCTGTTTTACCAGGATCAGGAAACAGTCCTCCATAAAATGCACTGCACACATCTGAATATTTGGGTTGAACTGTTCTGGAACAGTGTTATAAAAACTTAACCACTGATTTCTAGTCGTGTCTTTTCACTTTCACAATGAAACACACAGCATCTTCACAATATGGTGGTGGCAGCAACAACAATACTACAGCGAGAATAAAAGTTACACCTTCTTTCTTTGCGTGAACATTTGGGCGGCGTTATGCAAATCTTCCCATACAGTGACGTAGACGTGGGGGCGTGTTTAAATGAGGCGTTTTAGGAGGGCGTGGACGAGTCTTAACTTTTATAAAGAATATCTCTTTGGGTTTGAGACTTTAGGGATCTTATCTATTCACAAACAGCTTGTAACACTCCAAAGAGAAAGAAAAACTTGAAATCGCATCATATGACCCCTTTAAACACACAAGGTGAAGTTCATAAAAATAACTATTTAGACAACTTTACAGCTCAAAGAACACATATTTTGGAACAGCAGAATAATATTTGCAATTTATAATGTGTTGGGAAGGTTATTTTGGAAATGTAATAGAATAAAGATTACAATTTACCCTATTTAAAATGTAATAAGTAGTATAACTATTTCAGTTACTTTATTAAAGCAATGTAACTGATTGCATTTGATTACTTTTCTAAATTTCTAACTAATATTTTCAACTGTTAATCATTTTGAGACATTTAAAGCAGGCAGGGTTAACCTTACAGTAGCACTCAACACTGATTACTGTCAGACTTTCAAAATACATCTTCACTTGAATTAAGATTATAATAATTTCATTTTAAAGCACAGCCACCACAAAAATCAGACTTTAGCACCTCTTTTTACTTTGAGATCATTCTGAGGTTAAATACAGATTTAAAATTATAACAAGAAACCTTTTAATAGCTATGATACTGTTTTTTAAATCAAATATTTGCATAGATATGACGGAAAACACTGGCATCTAACAATGCAATGCTAAACAATTAATCCTAAAAAAAAGCATAAATCAAAATTGGAAACAAAAGAGTTATCAAATAAGCATGTGTCATATTCTGTGTCCTAAACTCCTGAAACATTGGTGTCTCAAATTTTAGAGCAGTCAATGCAATTTGGAAAAGAAATCAATCGTTTCTGTACACTCTTAAAAATAAAGGTGCTTCACGATGCCATAGAAGAACCTTTTTGTCTAAATGGTTCCATAAAGAACCTTTAACATCTGAAGAACCTTTCTGTTTCACAAAAGGTTCTTTGTGGCGAAAGAAGGTTCTTCAGATTACAAAAAGGTAAGAAAGAGATGGTTCTTTAAAGAACCTTTGACTGAATGGTTCTTTGTGGAACCAAAAATGGTTCTTCTATGGCATTGCTTGAAGAACCTTTTGAAGCACCTTTATTTTTAAGAGTGTATGTGTGTGAAAATATTCAGGTATAGGCCTAATCCCCTTCGTAATTTTGATTTAACTGATTTAATTACACATTTTCATAGCATTTTACAACACTGTTCAAAAGTTTAATGTCTTTTTTTTTTTAAGGAAATCAATACTTATATTTCAAACTCATGCATTAAATTGATCAAAAATGACAGTAATAGTGAAAAGTGTATGATTGTTTTTACAGAAATCATAAGCTGCAACGTTTTCAACATTGATGATAATGAGAAATGTTCCTTGAGCAGCAGATCTGCATATTAGCTTAACAGAACTGTATCTAGATAATATAGCATTTTACAACACTGTTCAAAAGTTTAATGTCTTTTTTTTTTTTAAGGAAATCAATACTTATATTTCGAACTCATGCATTAAATTGATCAAAAATGACAGTAATAGTGAAAAGTGTATGATTGTTTTTACAGAAATCATAAGCTGCAACGTTTTCAACATTGATGATAATGAGAAATGTTCCTTGAGCAGCAGATCTGCATATTATATATAATTTCTGAAGGATCATGTGACTCTGAAGACTGGAGTAATGATGCTGAAAATTCAGCTCTGCATCACAGGAATAAATTATGTTTAACATACACTTAAATGGAAAACTATTGTTTTAAACTGTAATAATATTTAACAATATTTCTGTTTTTACTGTATTTTGATCAAATAAATGCAGCTTTGCTAAGCAGAAGAGACTGGTTTAAAACATTGAAAAATCTTGCTCCCAAACTTTTAAAACACTAGTGTGTATGATAAAGAAAATATTTGTTTTCCTTAAATATTTATGACACACTGCTCTGGACACTTGCAGCATCATACATCATATACAGGCCGGTCTCAATTTCTGTGTGAAACTGCAACTGTTTAGAAAAAATGTGTAGGCCTATTATTGTTTCCTTCCACATATTTTAATATGTCTATGTTAATGTCAAATATGTTTGTGAAGGAAAAAAACTGAGACACTCTAGATAAAATCTTGATACCTTTATTGCCTGAGATAAATGTGATTGTAAGCTTTTCTTCTGTACTAAAACCTGTCAAAGGACACACAACAGATTTTGATTTTTGTAGACTCACATCACTTACTTAAGCAAGATTCATATTATTGATCTTACAATTTGATTTGTACCATGTATTATGTTGTAGTGCCTAATAAAGTTTTATTTACTCACCAAGGTCAATTTTTACTCACATTTGGCAACTGTTCATTTTGAGCCCTGGCTAGCTCTATTGAAATCAGTCAATCAAAATGCACTTTCGTGAAATCGTGTTCAGGGTTTAATGAGATCTTCTTTTACTCCACAGCTCCAAGCGCTCCTAGTTTTATCCACTTTAGTGAACTCACCACCACCTCGGTCAACATGTCCTGGGGTGAGCCCAAGCAGCGCAACGGCATCGTAGAAGGGTATCGTGTGGTCTATGAGCCCTGCACGCCTGTGGATGGTGAGAAACTACACCACACTAAAAGCTTTGGCTGAGCAAATTATTGGGATAACTTTTAGTCAGCAGCTGATTTACACCCTTTTAGGCCCGTCATGCTTTTTTAAACTTACAAATGTCTGAAATTTGCTCTCCAAATGTGTTCAAGATGAGGCTTCTTTTGGCATTTAATGAATGGCATTCCTCTGTGGCGTTCCCTCCCTTTGCCCTGTTATTGAGCAAGGCATGGTTAAAAAATTGCCAAGTGTGGTGCATTGGCCAAATTCCACTGTGATTGGGATCAGAGGAGGAATTACTGTGGTCCCATAATGGCTCCAGAGTGGTCAAGGCTTTGGGGGAAAACAGATGTGCTAGGCTGCTGTTTATCTCAGAATCTGGAGGATACACCACAAAGGCAAAGGCCCAGCTTTCTCTATTAGTTTAACCCCTAGAGCATGACCTCGTGCAATGTTCACACATATGGGAATTTGCCTGTAAAACCCTAAAAGCAATACCTGTGCGTGTAAAGCAACAAAATAATAGATTGTAAATGTAATTTCAGCTTAGGTTTTAGTTTTTGCCTTTGCTTTTGCACAAATTAAAGGATAGGATAAAATGCATAGTTATAGGCCATGGTCAGAAATATACAGTGGGTACGGAAAGTATTCAGACCCCCTTAAATTTTTCACTCTTTGTTATATTGCAGCCATTTGCTAAAATCATTTAAGTTCTTTTTTTTTCCTCATTAATGTACACACAGCACCCCATATTGACAGAAAAACACAGAATTGTTGACATTTTTGCAGATTTATTAAAAAAGAAAAACTGAAATATCACATGGTCCTAAGTATTCAGACCCTTTGCTGTGACACTCATATATTTAACTCAGGTGCTGTCCATTTCTTCTGATCATCCTTGAGATGGTTCTACACCTTCATTTGAGTCCAGCTGTGTTTGAATATACTGATTGGACTTGATTAGGAAAGCTACACACCTGTCTATATAAGACCTTACAGCTCACAGTGCATGTCAGAGCAAATGAGAATCATGAGGTCAAAGGAACTGCCTGAAGAGCTCAGAGACAGAATTGTGGCAAGGCACAGATCTGGCCAAGGTTACAAAAAAATTTCTGCTGCACTTAAGGTTCCGAAGAGCACAGTGGCCTCCATTCCTTAAATGGAAGACGTTTGGGATGACCAGAACCCTTCCTAGAGCTGGCCGTCTGGCCAAACTGAGCTATCGGGGGAGAAGAGCCTTGGTGAGAGAGGTAAAGAAGAACCCAAAGATCAGTGTGGCTGAGCTCCAGAGATGCAGTCGGGAGATGGGAGAAAGTTGTAGAAAGTCAACCATCATTGCAGCCCTCCACCAGTCGGGGCTTTATGGCAGAGTGGCCCGACGGAAGACTCTCCGTGCAAGACACATGAAAGCCCGCATGGAGTTGTGAGATGGTGAGAAATAAGATTCTCTGGTATGATGAGATCCAGATAGAACTTTTTGGCCTTAATTCTAAGCGGTATGTGTGGGGAAAACCAGGCACTGCTCATCACCTGTCCAATACAGTCTCAACAGTGAAGCATGGTGGTGGCAGCATCATGCTGTGGGGGTGTTTTTCAGCTGCAGGGACAGGACGACTGGTTGCAATTGAGGGAAAGATGAATGCGGCCAAGTACAGGGATATCCTGGATGAAAACCTTCTCCAGAGTGCTCAGGACCTCAGACTGGGCCGAAGGTTTATCTTCCAACAAGACAATGACCCTAAGCACACAGCTAAAATAACGAAGGAGTGGCTTTACAACAACTCTGTGACTGTTCTTGAATGGCCCAGCCAGAGCCGTGACTTAAACCCAATTGAGCATCTCTGGAGAGACCTAAAAATGGCTGTCCACCAACGTTTACCATCCAACCTGACAGAACTGGAGAGGATCTGCAAGGAGGAATGGCAGAGGATCCCCAAATCCAGGTGTGAAAAACTTGTTGCATCTTTCCCAAAAAGACTCATGGCTGTATTAGATCAAAAGGGTGCTTCTACTAAATACTGAGCAAAGGGTCTGAATACTTAGGACCATGTGATATTTCAGTTTTTCTTTTTTAATAAATCTGCAAAAATGTCAACAATTCTGTGTTTTTCTGTCAATATGGGGTGCTGTGTGTACATTAATGAGGAAAAAAAAAGAACTTAAATGATTTTAGCAAATGGCTGCAATATAACAAAGAGTGAAAAATTTAAGGGGGTCTGAATACTTTCCGTACCCACTGTATATATATATATATATAATGTGAAAGAGAACACATACAACAATGATTTAAACTGTATGCTATACTGTTGACATATGATCTTATCGTGTTGTATGTATCTCAAATCTGATAATGGGCCAAAAACCAAATTGCTAAAATTACGTCTGGCACATTCAGCACACTAAAAACGGAAGGTCAAGTCACGTGCATTGCATTGTGGGATACAATACCCTACCTAGTATGCTTTGTTACATACTGGACATTTTAGATCAATGTAGATCAGTTAGATATTCTATGCATACAGGGAATTGGCATACTAGTGCATACATTGGCATAGATAGACCAATTACAAGTCAGTATGCAAACAGTTGTAAGAAAGAAGACCAATAGTAATTCAAAATGCAAATATTTACATTGTTATGACTATCAGACATGTTGAATACAGAACTTTCTATCAGTGTAAGCCGATGGAAGAGCCTTAATTAAAAGCTTAATTTCAGATAATACAAAAATATAACCAGAATTTGAATGCCGTTTTATTAAAATACACTTTCTTTTAAAGTTTTGGGGTCAGTACACATTTTTTTCATCTTTTTGAAAGAAGCCTTTTATGTGCAACAGGGTTTTGAATACCACATTTGCAGTTCATTTGAATACATAAAATAATAATAATAATAATAATAATAATAATAAAAATAATAAAACTGTAATGTTGTGAAATATTATTACAATTTGAAATAATTGATTTCTATTGTAATATATTTTAAAATGTAATTTATTCCTGATCAATTGAATGCATCCTTGATGAAGAAAAGTATAAACTGCTTTTGAAAAAACTTACTGACCTCAAACTTTTGAACAGGAGTGTGTGTTAATATAACTCAATAATATCAATACAGTGCAGTGTAATAATGAGTGTTTGTATGTGTCATTATTAGTGTTTTACTCTAGCATGGTATCTAGAGTTTGAGTGTTTCCTCTACAGACTCCTCTCCTCACAATTCAGGTGTCAGTAAGGTTGTCACTGTGGATGTGAAGGGCAGCACCCCCTTGTGGATGAAAATCAAGGATCTGGCCGATGGCGTGACCTACAACTTCCGCATCCGTGCTAAAACCCTTACCTATGGCCCAGAGATCGAAGCCAACATCACCACTGGCCCTGGAGAAGGTCTTGTTGCCTCACATTTAGCACCATATTTACCATTTTGTAATATCAATAAATCCAAAGCTGAAGTATGTAATTTCTGCACCACTAGCATCTTATTTCCATTATTTGTGACACAGGTGCTCCAGGGCCTCCGGGGGAGCCGTTTATCTCTCGTTATGGCTCGGCCCTGACTCTCCACTGGTCCAGCGGTGACCCTGGCCGTGCTCCCATCACACGCTATGTTATCGAAGCAAGACCATCTGGTAAGTGAAAAAGAAAACCGCAGAAGTTGTTCAGAAATGCAACATTTAAGGTCGTTACAAAAGGAATAATGGCATTCTAACCATCAACAGATGAAGGACTGTGGGATATTCTAATCAAAGACATCCCTAAAGAGGTGACATCGTACACTCTTAACCTGGATACCCTCAGAGAAGGGGTCACCTATGATTTCCGTGTAATTGCGGTGAATGACTATGGCTACGGTTCTCCAAGTGCTCCTTCTCCTTCAATATCAGGTCAGTAAACTTGCACGGCAGAAAAATCCTAAATGGTCTTGGTGTTATGTTGTGCAAACCCATTTTTCTGCTTCTTTTCCCTTTTACCAGCCCAAAAGGTCTCCCCCTTTTATGAGGAATGGTGGTTTCTGGTGGTTATTGCTCTCGTGGGCCTCATTTTCATCCTTCTGCTCATCTTCATCCTCATCATACGGGGGCAGAGCAGAAAATACACCGAGAAAACAGACTCAGGTGGGTTGATAAGCCAAAAACACTAAAAACAGATCCATAATATCTCTCAATTACCCCGATTGCCCTGTCATTCTTTGCTGACTCATGTGACTAAATTGAAATGGACTTAAATTTAGCTCCATTTTCCCATCACTGATGGGTATTGCCATGGTGCTCTGGGAAAAAGTGATTTTTCACTTGAGAGAGGCTCAAAGAATCAATAGTAGCGTCTGTTTGCGTCAATTGGTTGTGGTCATTACTATCAACATGATTGCTGACTCATTTTGCTGTCTCACAGGGAGGCAGTCTGCTGCCTTACGCAAAATTACATCACTTATCATTTCATGTCTTGACTCAGTTTAAGAAAGGTGACAATCAAGTCTTTTCTCACTATTCTTTAGTAGTTTCACACAAAAATGGACCACAAGCCCTTAAGGCCACAACACACCAAACCAACATAAAAGAACTAGCGGTGATAAAAGCCGACTGTGTTGTCGCATCACATTGTGTGCATCTGGGCCAGAAAGTTGAGTTTGATCACAGAATAAAGACTACGGCCAACCAACGCATACATGCAGCACTTTGTCAATAACTCTCCATACCAGCAGGTGGCAGTAGTGTGTATTAATCATTCAGAGAGGTAAACCAAAAACTAGGACTGCATACATGCAAACTTCAATTTCTAGATGGCCATGTCATTATGAAAATGTAGCCCTCTGTTTGAGAACTTTTGACTTTGTCATTTGCTTGCTTTCATTACTTTTATTTTTCTTCTCGCGTACTGGTTTGCTAAATGGCAGTCTGCTGCCTTACGCAAAATTACATCACTTATCATTTCATGTCTTGTCTCAGCTTAAGAAAGGTGACAATCAAGTCTTTTCTCACTATTCTTTAGTAGTTTCACACAAAAATGGACCACAAGCCCTTAAGGCCACAACACACCAAACCAACATAAAAGAACTAGCGGTGATGAAAGCCGACTGTGTTGTCGCATCACATTGTGTGCATCTGGGCCAGAAAGTTGAGTTTGATCACAGAATAAAGACTACGGCCAACCAACGCATACATGCAGCACTTTGTCAATAACTCTCCATACCAGCAGGTGGCAGTAGTGTGTATTAATCATTCAGAGAGGTAAACCAAAAACTAGGACTGCATAGATGCAAACTTCAATTTCTAGATGGCCATGTCATTATGAAAATGTAGCCCTCTGTTTGAGAACTTTTGACTTTGTCATTTGCTTGCTTTCATTACTTTTATTTTTCTTCTGGCGTACTGGTTTGCTAAAATGAACAGCCAGTCAGATTGATCTACAAACCCGATTCCAAAAAAGT